CCTGATCTTCATGGATCTATAAATTAATATTTGGCGGCTTCTTTTGTTTCAATATCTTTGCTGATCATAAAAATTTAATTATGCTTCCATTAAAAATCTCTTGCACCTGAATTGTGAACTATTAAATTGCCCCCGCATTGAACTTGAATTTTGGTCAGAAATGTATAACATGAAGTGTTCCAAAATTTATACAAGAATCATTCCTGTAATATATTAGGCAGTACATTAGCAATTACTCTGATTTAGATGATGATGATGATGTACGCATTAATACTACGCTTGCGATGATCAAATCGCATACTCTTATAGCAGGTCCAAGGCTATTCTCTTTCCATACATTTGTTGAGTAGCTAATTGTCTCTCATTACTTTGTATACAGCGGCATGTTTGAAGGTCGCTGTTGAATAATTTACCACATACTACTTGCTTTGTGCTTGAATACACATCCTCCAACATCGAATTTTCATCAGATTCATTCTCAGATATAATTAATCAGGAGAACCATTTCCAAAGCCAAACTACAAAATCTCAAACTAGCAGGCGATCTATCGCCATATTCCTATTAATCTTTACTAGATCACCTTTCTTATCTGTTAGTTATGTAGCATTTTAGTTCATTCACAATTAGGTTTATTTGGGCAGTAAAATTCACCGTTGGCTTTAGTACCTAATCAACCAGATACTTTAATCAACTTTGGCGACCACTCTGTCCTCTAGGCTAAAAGATTTCTGTAGACCAAAATGTTGTGGCATCTTGTATGGTCGCAGTCTTCTTTCGATTTATAGAAGTGGGTAGACCTCGTTGTTGCAACTTGGTCTTGTTGTCAGGGCGACTTAGTAGAACGCACCTACTCCGAAGTCGTCTGCCTTAATAATTGTCATGATTCCCAGCATCCGACAGTGGACGTGATGCATTCTCAAACGTTTCGCCGGCATCATTGTCGGCATCATCATTGAGTGCTGGCCTTCTCCGCACCAAGCTGGGAACCCGTCAAAGAGACAAGTTAAGTCAATCCCTCTAAAACGTTCTGCCGAAAACGGTTACATTATCACTCCTCTTTCTGTCCTGGTCTATCTAGCTACTATTCACCCTCTTATCCCACTGTCGCCCTATCACAACTTCTCACTTGTTTACATTAAACTCGTCAAAATGCGTGCACTTTTGTGGCAAATATAATATGGCCTCATCACACTTGCTTATCACCGCGACCCCCTTTTCATCGGCTGATCTGACCTTGATCTCCAATCCGGATCTCCTTATTGTCTCGTAGATCCGTTCCTCATCTTTCTGGTTGACCGATTTCACTCGGTTCCACTCTCAGCGTGCATTTCACTCCAGGCGGTATTTCTCAAGGCCCTAGAAGCACGTTTACTGTCACTTTACTGAACAGAGCGCCTAAGATCTTATTTCCATGCTTGCAGATATCAGGCATTGTCTTCACAGGTCGTCTCCTTGATTTAACCAATTTTATCTGAGGAAACTGTGGACGCCTATCTCTGGTTGCATGCGGCATCTCAAGTTGATTTCTACTAAATTTCGGTAATAACTCCAAATTTCTGTGACGGTTTGCTAATTCGTCGGCCCAGACTCCTTGACTGCCAGGATCCCGATGTTGTACTGGTTTATTCGAAATGGACATCATTCACTGACAACGTCTTCGCTTGATTGCGGAATACCTCCGCCCCCTACTTTCCTCATCGTGATCCCTTTTCCTTTGGTCTCCTTTTTGCTGGTCTTGCTCTGTTCTTGTTTTCCTCGAATTTGCTTAGGCAGTAGGCAAGGATGTTGCTAACTCTACCTTCCTCCAATCCCCTGTTCATTAGACTTTTATCCCCAATGATGTCAATGGCCTCCCTAATCTTCCGCTTCCTTGTATTATCACCGTATGGAGCTTGCATTTCTCTTCCGCTCCCTTTTGCTGTCACTATATGGGGCTCTTCTTTTTGTTACCTTCCAATTAATTTCGTGTTCAGTCTGTGCGATGTGTTCTGCTAGTTCTAATTTTTCGGTATCGATTTTCTGCAGAGCCTCTGATGTTGCTTGAATTGTATGCTAATTTGTCTCCCTGTTTCCTCAATATATTTCTGTTTGAACACGCCGCTTGATAAACAGTTAACTCCTGAACAATACAATTTATCTACTCTTTATGTTGCGTCTGTAGACTTGTGAAAAGGAGACGCCTGTATAAAGGATCTACCGCTAATCGGAGGAAAAGGGATCGCCATGAGGAAAGTGGGGAGTGGGGGGTTCCTTAATCAAGCGAAGACGTTGTCAGTAACTGTTGTCCGTTTCGAATAAACCAGTAAAACTTTG